AAATGAACATAAACATTGATATTCCATTTCCTAACCCTAAATAGTACTAGTATACATTTCTATTAGTTATAAAATCAAGTAACCCACTAGCTTCCTCGATCTCATGGAAAAATTACATTTTAGCTATAAACAACATTGTTGGTTTCAACATTTTGTAAGATGTTTTCATGTATACTATACAATCTCTAACTATACATAGAACAAAGTTAATTAAGAACCAAATAAAACATAACTAGATTTGATTCAAGAGTCTTGTGAAAAAACTTTGAATATGAAGTCACGAAAACGCCTTGAGTATTGTCTTGGATCAACAGCTGATATTGAAGTTGGATCATATTGAATGGACTTATAAGCATGCTCAAGTTTCTTGCTAATGTCATAGTCTTGAAGTATGTCTATAATACCAAAAAACAAGACAACCTCGTAATATTCTCCAATAGGCTCTCCTACAAGTTGTAATTCACAATCACTTAATTTTCTTACTGTTCTTTCAACTCTTGCTGGCATGTTCACTCCTAGTTTTATACTCTCCCACTTAGAAGGATCTAGAAGAAGTTGATCCATGTCCGCTCGTGAAATTCTAGGCGTTCCTTCGCTCTCTGAATCACCTAAATTTGAACACCCTAAAGTGTTTGAACATCAACCAATAACAAAAAAGAAAATAAAAAACAATGAGCATGATTACGTGGTTAGGCAAGAAAAGTACCTTGTGGAGTATGAGATGTTGAAGGAATAAGATCTCCTTCTGGTGATATATCTTTGAAATGAATCCCAACAAGTAAACTATAGTCCATAATTCCTTCTTGCTCTAGAAGCTCACAATCCCTATCAATTTGCCTGCAAAATTCTTGAAACCAAGATTTTTGCAGGCGAAATATAAAACTTAAATCAAGATCTTTAAGGATAGTGGTTTCAGTAATCTCGGACTCTGGCTTAGTTGTAATGCGTCCAAGCGAAGAACCCTTTAAATCGTAACGTCTATGTATGGTATACTCAGAACAAAATAGGTTTCCCATTATGATAAATCGAACCTGAAATCCTTAAATTTTATGAACATTTATTTTCTTATAAAGTAAATATAAAATTTTAAAAAAAATAATGTGTTACCTTCTTTTGAGAAGGTCCGTTCAACTTGACACAATGCAAGCCATAAAATTTTGTGACTAGAGCATTATCAAATGCTCGAAAATGATTGTAATAAGCTGGAAGCATTCTCAAGAGAGCCTGCAAAAATAAATTCAGCCAAATTATGATGTTACTAAATATATGTTTATGTTGAGAGAAGATAGTTAGTATGAAACTCACTTTAGCCTCAGCTTTCTTCATTGTCTTAATCATATAACGATCATCATTGGTTAAGTAAAAGAAGCTTCCACTTTTTCCAGGTGAAGAGAGTTCTCTTAGGGCATCATTTCCACATATAGATAACATGTAATCAGCTGCATCCACCTTGAATAGCCTCCTCAGAGTTCTACATTTATCATATGTAAAATGCAACAATGAATATATATACTATAATAGCTATGAAGCATGAATAGACACCAGGCATGATACTAACATTGATATGTTAAACTCATCCATAAGTGTCAGTGTTGTATTGATACATGCACACTAACACTTTTTTTCAAGAGATGCATGTGTTACAGAGAGTATAATAATAATAGGGAGTACCTAAAAACTACCGGGCAATAATCCTTCCACTTGAACTCACTAGATGGATGTGGAGGTGTATATTTTGAACCTTCAGGAGGAAATCTAGTCCACACTTTCTCTTTGGAATCAAAAGCTGAAGGCTTGAGATCAAAAGATGCTGAGGGGGCAGGTCTTCCAACAGAATGCCTATATGTGCAACATTATGTTACATTGTGAAATAGAAGCAAGAAACAATATTTTAATTTATTTTTTGGCATTGGTATAGTACCTGATTCCCAATTGTAAATTGAGCATGAGCTCATAATTTTTGTGTCCTTTGCATATGGTCTCTCCTTGCCTTTTTGATTTCTTAGGTGCTTTCAAAGTTTGCTTTGGATTAGAACTTTGTAAGTGCAAATTTAACAAGTCATTATCATCTTTAATTGGAGTTCCACTACCATTATTACTATTACTATTACTATTATTATTATTTGTACCTTCTCCATCACTACCCCATAAATGCATTCTATCATTTGCCTTTTCAACCCCTACACTTACTCTAGCATCCACCGACATTCTTCTTGGCTTAGTAGTAGAACCATCCCCTCCACCACCACCACCACCTCCTCCCTTTGTAGACCTCCACACCGCAAGCCGCTTTTGTGACGGCAAAATCGATACCTTTTCCCCAGGACTTATATGATGTTCACTCAAATCATTATAAACTTGTTGTGGATCCCAATCAAGATGACCCTCTGATGACCCATCAAATGGATAATATGTCCCACTTTGATCTCTTGGATCTTTACTCCAATTACCTACATAAAAACTTCCATCACTCCATTTGAAAGTTCCACTCCCTTTAGGTAAACCATCTTCCCAATAACCATCATACCTATTCCCATTAATCCAAACAAATGAACCTTTACCCCAAATACTCCCATTTCTCCATTCACCAATGTAATACTTCTCATCTTTCCATGCATATTTACCTTGGCCATCTTGCAACCCTCTTCTCCATTCCCCCTCATACTTATCTCCATTTGAATAAACTTTCTCACCATGACCATGTTTCAAATTCATCACCCACTGTCCCTTATATGTGTCCCCATTTGCAGCACTATATGAACCTATCCCATCCATATAACCACTTTTGAACTCCCCTTCATAACAAGGCCCATTAGGCCAAGTGAACCTGCCCTTTCCCATTGTTTTTCCTTTGAACCATTCTCCAACATATATACACCCATCTGTCCATAAATATTTCCCTTTCCCATGAGGAAAATTATCTGCCCATTCTCCCTTATAATAATCTCCATTGGGCAGAACCCTTTCTGCCATGTATACTTCTGTTTCTTCCCTGTTATCTTCTTCATCTCCATGCGCTCCATGCGCCGTCCCAAATATGCTATTTGCACGCTTCTTTGCAACTGCTTGTGTCTTCTTCACCGTAGCTTCCCATGCCTTCATCATACTACTATCTTTACCCATCATTTTGTTCTTTTACATTCCCAACAAATACTTAAAAAAACTTCATAACAAGATTATTGTATCAGAATATATAATAACACAAAATTTTGTTGATGATTTTGGATATATGAAACCAACACATGCATGTTGGTGTTAGATATTTTATTCTCATAATCTTGGGGGTGGAAAGTTGATGATGTTATGATATGTACATGCACAATATTTTGTTATTAATTCATTAAGGAATTAATTTTGAGAATGAAGAAAAATGTGAAAAATTTTGTAACTAGATGTGTTTTATTCTTCATGCTTCAATGTTTGAATTGTTTTTTGGGTGAAAGAGGAAGATTTGGTGATCTTCTAGAACCACTAAAAAACCCGTAAGATATGGAGACAAGTGCTAAATCAACGGGTTTATTTACTATTCTTACTAAGGTTATAACAAATTTATCCGTTTAGTGTTTCTTCATTGCATTGCATGATAACCTTTTGTATTATTTTTTTCTTCAAATTTAATGTCAAATAATAATTTTCATCATAAATAATAATAAATTTGTATTTTTTTAAATGTTGTTAAGAGGTGTAAAGATATATTGTAATAATAATTAGGGTTAATATTATTTTACCCCTATCATATAAGAGATTTTTGGTTTACCTACCCCTATAATTTTTTTTGTTGTAAAACCAACATTGTCATATTAAGATTATGTTATTTTAGCTAGAAAGAAATGGCACATTCCGATTGCTTATGTGTCATGTTGTTTGCCATTTTTTGTTTTTTCATTTTTTTTAAATGACAACTGAGCAAACTCATGCCACATCAATAAATCAAACATAATTTAATGTGAAAAGAGTGAGAAATATCGTCTTCTACATCTCGTCTTCTTCTCCAAATCGTGGTTGCTCCCATCATCTTCTTCCTGTAGCTTGAAATTAGGTTTCAAAATGGGTGGTAGCATAAATTTTTCCATTGGTAATTCTAATGGAAGAGAAATACCCAGATGCAGTTGCAATCTATCAATGAAGATGTGGGTTTCAAATACACATAAAACCCTAAGAGGAAGTTTTAGAGATGCAAAATTTATGAAAAGGTATGCTCAATTGGTTTGACTTAATTGATACTCGGTATTGTAAATCTAATTCCTCCCTAATTTCTAAGTGTCTCAATTGTCTGATTTATTGCAAAGTGATGTAATATATGATTTGTTTATGTGGGACGATGGAGTTGATGACTTGTTATTGAATAGGAAAAACAAAGAAATTTCCACAGGTGCAGATATGGAGTGCAACTATTTTGGAAGTCATAATTGGCTATCTGAAAGAATTTAGTAAAGAATATGGGAAAGATTTAGGGAAGGAGTTTGCCAAATAATATGGGAAGGAGTCAAGCTCAAAGAAGGATGAAAAGATGAAGAAACTATTGCATATTGAAAGGAACAAAAGTTTTTGGCTGATGGTTACCCTTATTGTATCATGGGTATTGTTTGATATTGTTTAGAAAATGAATTAAATGTGTTGTAGTTTTAGGGTGTCTAAATTTCAATGTATTATTCCATTTAGAACCTATTGATTTCAATGTAATGTTAAAGTTTGGTATAATGAATGAAGAAGATTGAGATATGAATTATATTCATTGTAATGATAACAAACTTGTCATAACATTAAGCCTTAAAAAGGTTATTACATAAGAATTAAGAAGTCATTACAAAAGCATTTAGCATCAGACTATCTTAACAGAAAACATAAACCTAAACAAAGGAATTACAAAAGCACTAAAAGTGAAACTGTCTTAACACAACATATACATAATCAAAGGCAATACAAAACCACTAGAAGTTCAATTGTATTAACAAAAACCATAAATCTAATCAATTGTCTTAACAACTTCATTCAAGTCACTAAGTTAATCCTCTTGAAATGGCACCCCGGGATTTCATTTCCCTAACACATGTCCCTAGCATAAGGTCTGCAACCTCGGCATATTCCCGAGTTAATATGCCATATCCATCCTCTGGTATGATCATTGGTTCATCATTGGTTGCTCCGGGCCCCTTATGTGACTTGGTTTTCAATGTCTTCAACATGTCACTTGATCTTTTAGGACCTTCAAGTTTCACCTTATTTACTGGTTTTGGAGAAGATCTCCCATCAATAGTAGATTCACCATTTTTTCTCCATGGATTTAGTTGCAACATTTTGCATCTTCTTAGGTGTAGTTTTTGGTTTAGAAGTGCATCAGTTGCAACCTATGTTTCATCATCAGTTTCCTCAACTGGTTATGCATCAGTTGCCTCAAGTGGCACTATATCAGTTTCAACATGTGGTTCAATATTAGTTGCTTCTGTTGGTTCATCATGGGTTCCTTATGCATTACTTGGTCCATAATTTTTTCTAGGACCATTTCTCTAGGTGCTCCGGCAATAATCTTCTTCTTCTTTATTGTCAATTTCTTCTTGGGTGACTTAGTGGCACACCTATAATACTTATATGACTTCCCAATGACTTCAATTTTAGGTGAAGCAAGATTGGGATTCTCAATTTCAAAAAATTCAAAACCATCATCCATTGCAGTTGTTCTCTCATCATTCGTATCATCAAACATAACCTTCATTGCATCATCTTCACTTTCTTCATCACTTAAATAAGTTCCTACACTCATTTTAATGCATTTAGGCTCAACAACCTTGACTTTTATGTCCTTCACATTATGCTCAATATATAAATGGACTTACATGTTGTCACCTAAAGCAAAATTAGAAACATTAAAAGCATGTGATCAGTGTTAACTTCAAAATAAAATTGATCTACACCTTTGGGCTTGCTCCAAACCCTAAACTCATTTCTTTTGTATCCCTAGTCAATTACCATTTTTAACACGTCAGAGACACCCCACTTTTTGTTATCCTGATTATACACAGTTGTTTGAACCCCACCTCTATAAAACATTGTCTTCTCCCTAACAAAATACCATCCATGATGAAGAATAACAATGAACTTACTCATAATCTGTAACAGAAACACTTTCATCAGAGTGGAGTTTTAAGCCTAAACAACAAAAACAAGAAACTGGAAAAATGGGATGAAATGAGCATACCTTAGGTCTTTGTTGGTTTGTTGGTTGAAATTACGTTTCTAAATTTGTCACATGCAAGTATACATGTTGTGATTGTATCAAGTAATAAATATAAGAGTGTCGTACCCAGAGAGTAAAGTTACTTAGATTTGACTTTGTAAAATCCTATTCTTTCAAGTTAAGCATGAGTGAGAAATAATAATAAGATTGTTGGTGATGAGTTCAGTGTTACTTACACAAAACTATAAAGAGTGCAAATGGGAGCGAAGTGTATTAAGAGTGGTAGAATTAAGCATAGATCCATTAATATTACTTATGCATTTATGTGTTTATGCTGCGTGGAGTCATGACAGGCAAGGTCAGGATGATCTTGTGGTGTATTTCTACAACATTCAGAACATGCATGCAAGGGCAAGGGAACAAATCTTTAAGCCTCACTTATAACCACAACATGCATCTTTTAATAAGTTTGATTTCCTTAATGGTTGTAGCTTCTTGTATCTAAGTAAGCTCGGTCAAGCAAATATATATATCCTACTTTTGTAACCATTTTTACTCATGAAATACGCTTGTTGTTAGATCTCTGTCAACACCAAGTTGTTACTTATTTCTAAGTTGATCATGCAAAGAAACATGTTTCGTAACAAAAACACATGGTAAAGCAAGCACTAACCTCACATCATATAACATAAACACACTTTTAATATTAACTTCACTTATCTCAACTACAAAGGTTTTAGATCATGATGAGCCGAGTAAAAATAACAAACAAATCTCTTACAATAAACATCTTAAGACAATGAAAATAACAAAAGATATAAACATAAGAGAGGACTTGAAGGTCTCCTTGAGACGGATAATCTTCAGGAGGCAGCTTCAGTCATGCCCCTGCTCATTAGTTAGCACCAGGATGGACGAGGAAAGAAGACTCTCTCACACTTTACGATTCAAGCATACAAACTCTTTTTAAATATTTCTTCTAGTAACATCTCTCTCTCTCTCTCTCTCCTGCTAGCTTTTCTTTATATAGGTCAAGGATTAGGGTTGATGTCTTGCATTGGATCATGGGCTTTCCTTATGAATCACATCTAGCCCAAATGGATTAGTGCCAAAACACCAATAGCTCCTAGACGACACAAGGGATTCGTATGAAAAGGGACAGTAGTGGGAGACAAGGTCGCGTGTGGCAGAATCTGCAGCAGGCGGCGCTGGTTTGACATTAGAAGGGTACGGATGTACTCATTTTGTCTTCTATCTTTTCCACTATCATCTTTGAATTTGAATAGCTTTATTATTTTTTTCCGTACCACCAAGTTTTCCCTCCTTTAATTCTCCTTCCATACTTTCCTCAAGGCCATCAGCTTCCTTCATTGAAATTAACTTGCCTAATAATTCTTCTTGAAATTGCCATATTATGCAACTTACAGTAGCCCAGCTTTATCTTGCCTCTGCTCGACCCTGCTAACCTTTGTACACACAAAAACACAATTAAAAGTAAAAAGGGGAGCACCTATTATGCTCCACACTAAACATTAAATTAACTCTAAAATGAAATAAATTAAACTAAAAATCAATTAGAATACTAAAATAGCAAATACTAAAGACATGCATTAACTCATAAAATGTGTGTTAACACACCTGTAAACTTGAATCATTACCTGTCCTCAGGTGATGCAACAGGCAAAGATAAACGGAACAACTTCAACTAACTACCCCCTCTTTTATCAGATCCAATCTTTACAGAACTCAGAGTCATTCTCCTAGGGACTTTCTTAAAAACACATACTACTCAGTACTTAGGATTAATCTTGATTGTGTGTGTGTGTGCTCTTTAGATTACCAAAACTCTCTGTCACGACATAACTCTTCTGTTAAGTTAGTCAACCTAATATTAAATTTTTGCTTGTCTTTATTAGCTTTCAATCTAGTGGGGGATTTTAACTCTTTATTCTTAAACCTACACCTAGGACCACACTTTCATTTTTCTCAAAGTCTTTTGTAGTTGCCCATTTTTCACTTAAATTATCTCACTTAGTCATGAGTCAATTTGATCAATAATGGTGGGGGAAACTATCGTTCCTCCAGTTTCGGGCACAAGAACACGACTTTGTTTGCTCTTCTAGTTTCAGGCACAATAGATGTTCCTCTAGACGCTGTCACAGGAACTTTCATTGAGAAATTCTCTTTGGCAACTTCATACACACCTTTATGTAATTATTATATTTTTATCTTAATACAGTGCTTCCAGAGTGTTCTCGTTTTTTTAACAAGAGTATTTTACCGCCCAAACTAGACTTTACAGCTAAAAGAAAATAATCAGTCTTTCGTATAGGCCGCCTACTTCCCAAACTACCAAAGCCACGACAGGGGTTGTCAGTAAAAAAAGACTTAGTGCAAAAGATACTCCTCAAGTCTTTGTCTCCTGAAATTAAGGCCAAATAGAATTTTCCCTAAGCTTGTTCAGTTTGTCTGTTCTAAGGGGAGTGTTTCTCAACTTTTTTCATATTGTCCTCATTTATTATTATATTTTTTTAACATAAAAAAATAAAATTTAAACTACGATTAAAAGAAAGAAAATAGTTCATTAATAAAAGGGCTGCAAGCAGTCAGCAAAAAATCATTAGTCAAAGATCTAAAACAGCCACAAAATAGAAGAAACAAAGATTGCAATTAAAAGGAAAAACAATAGAAGAGTCAAGTAATGACTCGTGCCACCACTCTTCCAAACTTAAAGTAAGGACATTGTCCTCACTGTTCATTTGAAGGGGCGAGGCGCGCCTCTAAAACTAACACTTACCAACTAGGCATGAAGCTTGCTACTCTTCCTCGAGGGTTTCTTAAGAGCGAGATCTTACTTAGCTTTCTTCCTAGCTTCTATACGATTGGATTTGACATTATGAGTCTTGATAGGAGACTTCTTTGGAGGTGCTTTGGTTGTTACAGGAGTCTTGGTTGGGGTTGGTTTTGTGGAAATCTTTCTAGCTGAACATGGGGTGCTGGCCTTTGCAGGCCCCTTAACCTTCTTAGGGGTGACTATAGGAGTCACATCATCACCCGACTCTCTAGGAGTCTTCTTTGATTGTTCCAATTCTTTCAAACTATCAGAGAGATCCCCTTCTTCCTACTCCACTTCCAGCTTTCTTGTTAGAACCTTCCTTAGATTCACTCACAATAGCCTCAGTGTCCTATTCCTCCTCCTCATCTCCGCTCGAGTCTTCCTCAGTCATGTCAGTCGTTTCCTTCATTTGAACATTCTCCTCTTATTTGTTATCTTCCTCCTCCTTCTCAGCTTCGGTTTCTACTTTTTCTTCATCCCCCTTTTCACCTGGATCTAATTACTTCACAAATTCCTCATAACTCTTCTTTGCAGCCTTCTGGTATTTTTCCTTTTCGGGAACTTCTGCTCGCAACTCCTTATAATCCTTAGCTGCTTGCTTGATCATATTATTCAAAGTCTCATATCATCATCAGATTTGGATTCTTCCTCCATCACAGGTTCTTCAACCACAATCTTTTTCTTTGGAACCCACTTCTTGGCTGGTGTTTCTCCCTTGATCTTCTACTTATTTTTCTTTGGTGAGTCGTCCTTAGGCACGCATTGAGTTGACGTGCTTGGATCTCTCACCACATCTAGTTCAAACTTCATTGGCTTATTACCCTTTTTCTTCATTTTCTTTTCTTCATTCTCCTCAGTCACTGAGTCCTCTTCTTCTTCATCTTCTTCCTCCATCCCCGATATATGTTCAGGGAATGGAGGGGTTGAATATCATTGTCCATTATTCGGTAAACCTTGAACTCCCATTCATACATTGCTTTCTGAAATCTGTAATAATCTCTCTGAGCCTTCTGCATCTGCAGCAATACTTGCCAATATAAACTTTCAGTTTCAAAACTGAAGTCTCCTCCAAACGACTTATGTTCTGACTCCTCTCTCTTTCTTGCTTTTGGCTTCATCAACATTTGTATATTTTTTCTATTAAACCAAGCTTTGGTATTACAGACTTCATCAGTTACTCTGCCCTTGATCGGTCACCATTTTCATCATATTTTTGTTACTTCTCTGATGATAATCCACGTATTCTACATTGTTTTATGTCGTATTTTGCTTCTCTTTGAATGATTTCATGTTTCGTAAGTTTTCCTGTATTTTATATTTTCGTAAGTTTTATTTCAAGTTATATCTTTTTTTATGCTTCATTTGGTTGTTGCTACTGTTTTAGGCTCAAGTGAAAGATCCAAGGGATTTGGGACGAGAAAAGTCAAGAAACCGGGAGTTTCAAGAAGTTTTCAGCAAGTTTCAGCAAGTTTGACACGGCCACCCATGTCACCGGACACAGGCTGTGTCAGACAGAGGAATGGATCCAGGGCTAGAAACCAGACACTTTTGGATCATACGAGTGAATTGCAGAAGAAGGAATAAACCTCTCAAGGGTTTGGAGACAGAGATCTTCAAGAGCTATTGCGATTGAAGATCGAAGCAATCCTCTTATCATGTAACGTCTAATCTTTCTATTAAATTTTATTTGAATACTATGAGAGGATAAACCCTCCAATGCTAGGGGGTGTCTCTGATTTGTCATTGTAAC